CCAGATGGAAAACCTCTGGAAAGGAAACTCATCTTGGTTCAGGTGAGAAAATAAGGGTGTACCAACAATTCTTCTTTTTGCCAACGCATTAGTCCTCAGGTGTGGGTTGAGTCCTGATTGAGTATACATTAGTCTGTGTGAATTTTTATCCCATAAAATAGGGTAGCAGATTCAGACTTTGTACGGTAGAGCCAACTTAGAGAAGATGTGTTTCTAAAATAGGTGATTGATTTAGTAAAGACCTTATTTTTCATTCTCTTACTGATATTAGAGTCTTATTGAGATCTTTTAAGATATGACTCTTGCTAGCTTTCCTTAGAAAAGCCTTTTGAGTTGTTTTTTAAGAAGATAACCTTATTCTAGGAGTGGCAGCAAGGCCACTTGGGGTTGTGCAGTGAAGCTGGCAATAGATGGCATTTGGTCTTGCTAAGTAAGCAGCCATTTATTTAGGCATTTGATGTGATGCTACATCTACATTCTCTACTTTCAACTGAACCAACTTCTACAGTGAAACTTGGCAGATGATCTGGAGAGATGAAGGTATATCCTATATCTAGACATTACAGTGGTACTTCCTCAAAGACTCCTTGGTTCTTCCTACAATCTTGGTCCCTCCTGCTAAAAATACCTCTTCAAGTTGAGCGTGGTGGCACATGTGTATAATCCCAGAGAAAGTCAGGGGCCTGAGGCTGGAGGATAGCAAGTTTGAGATAGGCTTCAGTTTGAGACCCCCTCCCCACAAAAAAAATAAAAGGCAGGTGGGGGAATTCCTGGGCTCTATCTCCAGTTACCAATAACAAACAGATAAAAATTACCTTTATCTCACTGGACACTTGTGTGCTTTGTGCCCTGAACAGGTCATTCCTGTGGTAGCTCGGATGATCTACGAGATGTTTTCTGGTGATTTCACACGATCCTTTGACAGTGGCAGTGTTCGCCTGCAGATCTCGACTCCAGACATCAAAGATAACATTGTTGCTCAGCTGAAGCAGCTTTATCGCATCCTTCAAACCCAAGAAAGCTGGCAGCCCATGCAGCCCACCCCCAACATGCAACTCCCCCCTGCTCTGCCTTCCCAGTAATCTTGAATGCAATCTTCTCCCTCTATTTTTTTTTACAACATTGTACATATGTTTTTGTGATTTTTGAAAAATATTCAGATTTAACCAGCTTTTAAACCTTTTTCTTTTAATAATGTTAGAATTCTCTGACTTTTAAAATATACCTAGCTTTTAAAGTTGATTTAATTTATGGAAAAAAAAATCACTCCTCGAATTTCCTTTTCTTTTTAAAAACATCGGATGGTAGAAGGAAATTTAGTCTGGGAGTTTGGACACCAATGTTCTAGCTGCAGCTTTGCTTCCAATGTGACCTTGAACAATTCATTTAACTTTTGGGCTTCAAATTTATCACTTGTAAATAAATCAGAATTGGAAGGATGCCCAAAATTATGTTCAGTTTTAAAACTCTGATTCAGGAACTGTATTCTACTTGTGCAAGGCAAAACTGCCTGGATCAGAACCTGTACCACATTTTTCTTCTTGCTTTCATTAAAGTTCCCTCAAGCACTGATATGTCCAGGATTGAGCTCTGTTTGACCTGTTCTGCTAGTACAGTAAGCTGGCTCCCTGATGGGGAAAGTAAGAGGCCGACTGGTTGCTTAGGAACCAAGCTTGATATCTAAATAGAAATGGGTGCCAAAGTCTGAAAGTCACCTTGCTTGTGGAGTAAAAGTTCATAAATTGAGCTTCTAAAAGGAAGCTGATGACACAGAAAGCCTAGGGATTCTGTGAAAGAATGAGTTGTCAGGTGTTCACCTTGTTACAACTCAGATACCACCTTGTGTGTGAGCGAGATGAGCACATGTGACTCAGTGGTAGATTTCAGAGGCAGGCTCTCTCTTTTTAATTTCCTTTTCTGGGAAAGGCCTATGAATGAGCTGGCCACCTAGGATATATTCCTATGACTATAAAAGGGCCTGCTCCTGTTTGGAGACTTTTAAAAAGTTTTCTCATCATTTGGATTTTTGATGTTGGAAAAAATGAGGTGTTGGGTGTCCTAAGGCCAGGGTGTAGAAGGGTTGGGCAGCACTCTTCTGGAACAGACTCACCTAGCACAAACCTGCTCATCTTCCTTGCTAGGGGAGGTATCTGGGTGTGAACTATGAAGGTGAGGAGTGGTACAGAACACTGCCACTATATCATGAACTTGTCCATCTAGTAATCTTTGCTTAGCTCCTGACCCTTCTAAGAAGAAATTATACATGATTTAAACTCTTATCACCTAGTAGAAAACCTAGTTGTGGGCCCCAGTCCTCTTGAATACTGAATCTGATTGTCTACTTGTTCAGGTCATAGTAAGGAAGCCCATGTGTAGCCTTAAACCCTTAAACTAAACCACCTCCTACTTTTCAAGTAACTGAAAATTGGGCTAGCTTTATTTAGAGAAATTAAAAGCTCAACTTAATCAAAGGTGACAGTGGTAGTTATTTAAAATGCTTAAGAATCGATTTAGGGTCCTTAAGAGAATTAAGGAATCTGGTATTTTTAAAGCATGTTCAAGAGAAATCTGGGTAAAGACCAAGTGCTCACAAGAAAGAGTTGGGCTTTTAGAGACCAGGAATCATGCAAGGAATAAAACCATTGCATTTTTTGGTCATTTGTTGAGTAGCTGAAGTGAGAGATTTGGTTCTGATGTTTGACTGTCTGATCTGTATCTGGGAATGCAAAGTTAAAAAGAACCCATTTTAAGTTGGGAGGATAACTTTGAATTGGGGGTGGTTCCTCTCTCTTCTTTTGTGGAATGCTACCAGCCAGGCTGTCTATCTAGATGGGAGGCTAAATGATGTGAGCCGTAAAGAATGGTAAATATAGTGTTCTGAAGCGTCAAGAAGGACTGAGCTTTTAGGATGTGTTTGCAATGAAAAGTTTATGAATGTGTCAAAGGGATGGATAAACGGTCTCAAGTGATTTTAACTAGATAACCTGGTTTCTTGTTTTAAATCTTCTTTAGGATGCCGAGAAAGTACATCCTGGCATCTCCTCTTACTACCTCCAGTCCTCTTTTTCTGGTTTTGATAGTACCAGATGTTTCATTTATTGGGGACTCAGTCTGCTGTCTCCATTGCTGGTTACACCAGTTACTCTGTGGGCATCTTCTACTGCCTTGTCTTCACCTTGTTTAAGCCTGGGAAGGAAGTTAGATCGTCAGTTCTTCCTGTTTCGCACTGTGCACCCCATCACACTAGATTAATTCAAAGTTAAAAAGAAATTGTGAATAGTAAATCGGGAGGAAAAGTGTTGGATATGGGTTGGTTCCTTCCCCCTACAATTAGGTCCTTGGTTCTATGTTCCCATAGCACCCTAAACTTTCTCTTTCAGAATAATCATGTCCCTCATAATCGTGTATCCTGCTTGACTACAAACTTGTTGAAGGTGAAAATTGTCTTGAACTTTGCTGCCGGCCTTAGAAAAGTGTCTGATACAGTGTGTTCTCAAATATTTGTTGCTGTAATAAATGAATGAACAAAATAAATTTCCATTTTTGGGATTTACTCCTAGCCACCATGAGAAAATAAAATAAATATGAGAAACAAAAAGAATCTAAAATTAGAGAATTAGTTCTATCAATTTCTAGTCTCTGCTTCAGATTCCCTCTGTGCTAAAAACCAGTTAGACTTGCAACCCCTACAAGCTGGTCCTCCTTCCATATTGGCCCCATCTTTACTCCATTGTTATCTCTGAAGTGGTATCTGCAGACTGTGAAAAGAGATCTATGTTCCCATAGTTCCCTATACCTCTAGTATAGGCACCTTACAGCCCATAAATTTGGGTCATTTCCTCAGATACTTTGGTTTTCTCAAGAAAATTTTTCTTTTCATGGCATGGGTCAAATCTCTGTCAAATAACATGATTTCTTAATAATCTGAATGAAACACCTCTGGATCTTCACTTCTCGTTTGGTAGTGGGGATTGAACCCAGGGGCCCTTTACCACCAAAATACATCCCCAGTTATTTTATTTTGTATTTTTGGGACAGGATTTGGGAAAGTTGATGAGGCTGGCCTTGAACTTGCCCTTCTCTTGCCTCAACCAGCCTGAGTAGCTGGGGTTACAGGAATATACCACAGCTCCCAGCTTGACATGTCATTTGAAATCATGAAACGGGATTCCTAGGATATGAACTCCATGAAGGTGACCGGTTTTATTTGTCTTGTACAATGCAATATTTTTGAAGCCTATGAATATGCCTAGCACATATTCAGTCAATAGTGACACCTTTACACCCTGCCTAGAGATATCTGCTCCATGGAGCTCGCCTATCAAATTTGATTTAGGGAAATAAAAGTTAAGTTAAAAAAAAAAAAGGTTTCCAGCACCACTCACAGCTAAGGATATTCTGCAAAATGTCAGATGATTTGAGACACAATCTATTAGGAAACGTTGATATCCCCAGACACAAAGGGGGTTTATTCTTTTCCACACTTTTTACTGGTGCATTATGGTTGTACACAATGGTGGGATTTCTCGTTACATATTCGAACATGCACACAATATAGCAATATAATTTGGCCAATATCTTTCACCAGTATTTCCTCTTTCTCCCCCCTCCCCCCGCCGCGCGGCTCCCTCTCGGAGATAAGTGCTCGGTGCCCAGTCTGGCTTCCCAGTCAGGCGGGCCCTCAGACTTCATAAACACAAGCAGAGCACACCCGGAAGCAAAATAAAGGCAAGGGCTCACAGTTAGTTTAAACAGGTACCTCTATCTTTAGTCCGCTTCCGCCCCTCCCCTTTCCTAGAAGATGGGCGGGGCGGCTCCTGCCCGACCGGAAGTGGCGGCGGCTGAAGGCAGCCCCCACTTCCGCCACTCTGTGGGGCTGCCTTGCCATTGGTTCTTACGCGAGGAGCGCCTGCGACTGGATGACATCACCAGAAAAGGGAGAAGCGGGCGGGGCTTGAATGGTTGCGCGTGCGCAACAGGTTGTTTTCGCCGGCCTAAAGAGTAGCGGGTTGCGAGGGTCCTCCGCGCACTGGCGGGACTTCCAGTGTTGTGGCGGGTAGCGGAGAACTAGCCACCTTCCTGGCTGCGGGCAGGAAACCGGAAGGGGTCCCTGAGCCCGCGAACCTGAAGCGGAAGTGGAAGTGTAACGTTTGTGAGGGAGACAGCTACCTCACTTAACAAGTCTCTGTAGTCTCAGATGTGTGGTATGTGGGTGGGAGCCCATCTTCCCAGAGTGCTTGGATTACTGCCAAAAAGGGAAGGCAGGGTCAGCAAAAGTTAAAACAACCCTCGTGCAGTTCAAGCCAATTCCATTTATTTATTTATTTATTTAAATTTACCATTTTCTTTTTAAAAATTTTTATTTATTTTTTTACATGAGCTCTATTATTATTATTATTATTATTATTATTATTATTTGCATTACAATTCTTAGTATTTTTATGTCACAGGATGAGGTGGTTGTTACACATTCTAGTGTAATCAGTTGTTCTTATGAAGAAAAGGGGAAATTAGCAGCAAAACAGTACATTTGGAATCCAGAGCTCTGTCCCCAAAGGGCAGTTTTGGGTGAAATGTGTTGGAGTTTTGCCAGACTCTCTTTGCCTTTTCTTAGACTAGAGCTCCTTAAGTTTAGATTCAGAGAATGTAATTGGTAATAGGTACAATTTAGAATAGAAGTCAGAGATAATAGGAATCAAGCTAGAAGGTTTGAAAGACAAATTAGGGACCAAGGGATATTGGGTAGAATTGGTGATCCCATCTTGTCTGCCTTGGCTGAGTCTTCCAAAATAGAGGGAAGGACAAATAACTTTTGGAAAAATCTGTGAGACTTAATGGGAAGGCCCTTGGTAGGTTTCCTGTGTGTGACTGGCTGGTGTTAATAATTCCCTGCTACCACTTTGTTTCCAGGCTCTTCCTCAAGTGTCTGGAGCTGAGATGCGACCCAGGAAGGGAACTGTGGCTAGCTAAGGAGTCAAAGCTTGATGTTACTTCCAGATCTCATGTCAACACTGAGCCCTCAATTACTGGTGGCAGTTGCTCAGCAGACCCTGGGCATGGGAAAGAAAAAGGGTCCACCTCGAGCCATCTGCCTTCACCTGGCTGGAGAAGTGCTGGCTGTGTCCCGGGGGCTGAAACCTGCTGTGCTGTATGATTGCAACGGTGCAGGAGCATTGGCACTCCAGAACTATCTGGAGGAGCTGCAAGGGCTGGGCTTTCTGACTCTGGGACTTCACATTCTTGAAATTGGAGAAAATAACCTCATTGTCAGCCCTGCACATGTATGTCAGCACTTGGAACAGGTATTGCTTGGTACCATAGCCCTCGTGGATGTTTCCAGCTTCCAACCTCACCCTTCTATCTGTTCCCTGGACCAGCTTAAGGATTTGAAGGACATCGTGACTGAGATCATCACACATTTGAAGGGGCTGCAGAGGGATCTATCCTTAGGAGTCTCCCACAGCATGCTCCATTCCTCAGACTGGAATCTTTGTACTCTATTTGGGATCCTCCTGGGCTATCCTGTCTCTTATACTTTTCACCTGAACCAGAGAGATGACAACTGCTTAGCCTTGACCCCACTACGGGTGTTCAGTGCTCGGATCTCATGGCTGCTAGGTCAAACCTCAGTCCTGCTCTATTCCTTTAGTGTCCCAGAAATCTTGTTCCCAGCCCTAAGGGACACTCTAAATGTCTGGGAGAAGAACCTCAGAGCCCAATTTAGGACTCAGAATGACTTTGCTGACCTCAGCATCTCCTCTGAGATAGTCACACTGCCGGCTGTGGCCCTCTGACTTTAATTTTTGTCCTCCTATGTAGAAGGCATTCAGTAAGTGCTCATCTCTGGGTTGGGGGTATCAAATAGTGATCATTTAAAGTGCTGGTTTTAAGTGCCTGGGGACCCTAGGGAAGAATGCTGTATTCAGCTGGCCACATCATGAATGGGAATAGGTAGTGGCGGTGGTGATGCTAACATTAGAAATACATATTGGCCATTTCTATACTAGGAGGTCCTTAGTTAACAGAGGTGTCTGTTCATTTTTCACTGGATAAGAGTTAGAAGGAAAGAGACAGAAGGGGAAAAGAATGGTTGTAGAGGACAAGCAGTATACCCGTGTGTGGTATCCTACCCTGTGTAGATAGTGTCTTTAGAAAAGGAAGACTGGGTCCTTTCTGTATGTTTCTGTACCTCCAACTGAATTGGTCTAAGGGGAGTAGACCAGGATGCTTAAGTGCCACACTTGTAATATGTTATTTAGGAATAAACTGAAGATTCCAGGGAACAGTCTGGTGAGGTAAAGTTTATTTATTTAGGCTAAAAAAATTGAAGTCAGAAATCCCAATTCAGTTGGAGGGTAAACCCAAGCTGTAAAGTACCCAAACCTTCTGCGTTTTTCATTGAGTTGTTTGCTGCTGATTTTTACTCCAGGCAGCTGTCACAAGTTATTCAGATTCTCAGGTTATCTTTGTTGGCCAGGAATACTGCCAGTGCTATAGCAATCACCACTGTCAGGATGGGGAGCCACTGACCACATTGCTTCTGTGTGGAGGGAAGGGAGACAGAAGAAAGCAGCCATAAGTCACTTAGAGAAAATATGGGCAAAAGCACCCCTTCCTATTCTAGCCCAATGGAAGACCGTGGGTTGGTGCTAGAAAAAGCTTTTTACTTCACTGTCTCACTTTCTGTCACCTCTCTTGGGATAAAACCACTTTACTAGTGGTCCCTGGCCCAGGGACCATGTCCAGTAGGGGCCAAACATTTAAATGCTGATGTGAAAAATTCAGATTGGAAAATAATTCAGCAAAATAATATTATTCTCTTTGTATGCCTTAGTACCTTTGTTGTCCTTCCCTGTCCTTGTCATCATGCTGGCAATAGACTAAAAGAACATCCTTTCATACTTGAGTTAATGCAGCTTGAGAATCCCTTACCTGAAATACTTAGGACCAGAAGTGTTTCAAATTTTGGAGGTTTTCAGATTTAGTAATATTTGCCTAGACTTTACCAGTTGAGCAGATCTCATGAAAAAAAAATCTGAAACACCAAATACTCTAAAATCTGAAACTTTTTGAATATCATGTCAATGCTCAAAAAGTTTTGTATTCAGAGAATTTCTAATTTTGAACATTCAGCTTAAAAATGCTCAGCCTATAGCAAATCTTTCCCCCAGGCCTTAAGAGTTCCACAGAAATTGGACTTGGATACATGAATCAGTGTTTCATGACTGCTGTACTTTCAGCATGGACTAAATCAAGCAGAATAGGCAGAGTATTCAGAGCATTTCTGATTTTGAACATTCAGCTTAGGGATGCTCAGCCTATAGCAAATCTTCCCCTCAGCCCTCAAGAATTCCATGGAATTGGACTTATGTACATGAGTCAGTGTTTCTTTCATGACTGCTATACTTTCAGCATGGACAAAATCAAGCAGAATAGACAGGATGACTAGATATTGACATGGGCTGGCAAATTTTATCTGTAAGACTTGGCTAAAAAAGAAATCATCCCACCACCATTTGTACAGGAGGATGGACCCTCTTACTCTGGGAGGTGGCTGCTGGTTGTGGTTCAGCTCTTCTCGACAGTGCTGCAGCTTACGCATGCAGGAGAGGTACTCGTCACTGAGGTTGTCTAACTCCGAATGCAGTTCTCTGCACTGGGGAGAATATCATCGGAGTCATCATCATCAATTCTATCTTGAGACAGAACCCAGGAAGGGGAGACTGCCCTGAGTAAGGTACTCCTTCATTCATTTTGAATGAACTATTCTCCCTTCCCAACCTTCCTCAGAATTTTTAGTTTGTACTGTCTCACTTGTTTTTCTCTGGAATGTGTTGCTTTAAAAAAATTGATTGTACTGCATATATTACACTTTATGTATTGTAAATAGTTTTATGTGACCAACCGTGTATGTACAAGTGCTTTGTAAATGGGGAGACCCAAAAATGAAATTCTTAAAGCACAAAAGACTTCAAAGTATTATAAGTTTCTTTTCTGGGAGCTGATTGCTAATGTGTGCTTTTAGGGATATATATGTATATCCATATGTACATATACATATATATGTATGTATGTATGTATTTAGGAAAGCTTTTGCTATTGAAAAGTTGCTGTGTAAGGCTTTAAGATATTCAGTGTGAGAAAAAGTTTGGGAAGTTAATATGTTTATCAAATGTGGGTTGAGGGTGTAGCATAGTAGTAGAGTGCTTGCCTACCATTTAAGAGGCCCTGGGTTTGATCTCTAGCATTACAACACACACACACACCCCAAAAATATGTTTATCAGATATGTTTTAGTTTGACTTTCTGAAAGGTAACTGTTTAAACCTTAAGTAGGGAATAAATAAGGAAAGAAAAATATTGACAGGTCAGTACAAAAGCAGACATTTTATATGGGCAATGGAAGACCTATGGACATCCAATCACAATTTAAACACAATTTAATCCCTGCTGTCTGGCTGTTCCTAGCAGTTTTCTGTGCCACACATAGATGAGCTCATGATCCTAGGTTAATGGCTCACCTCTTTTTCCTTGGCCTGGAATTGCAAAGTCGTCTTCTGCAGCTGGTCTCTGAGATCCCAGTCCTTCTCCTTCCCTGCACTCTCAGGCTTCACTTCATTGTGGGAGGGCTTTGCACTACACACAGGCAAAGCCTCATCTAAAAAAGCAGCCAGATTCTCAGTGATAGGCCCATACCTATGAGGAAGGATCCTGTCACTGAGTAAGACTCCTAGGAGTAGGGGAAGGGGAAGGAACAGGAAAGGCCTGACCTTTGGCTAGACTGAATGAAATGGAGTTCTCTGGCTTAAAGAACTCCTGATGGAACCCTGCTTAGCCTGAATGACACCTGGAATTTGAGCCCCTTGAGAGCAAGATTGGCATCTTACTTTACTTTGTATCCCCAGACCTGTCTGATATTTTTTAGTGAATACCTATTAATTTAATTTTTTTGTTGTATGCCACATGTTTTAATTTGTGAGGCAGGTGTTTCTTTTCCCTTACATCCTCATTTCAAAGTCCTGAAAATGGCAGTCATATCCTAGAATTTATCTAATGTGGTTAAAGATGGGTTTTCAGCCACCTTGCAGTCTTTTTTTGTGTGGATACCAGGGATTGAACTCAGAGGCACTTGACCACTGAGCCGCATCCCCAGCCCTATTTTGTATTTTATTTAGAGATAGGGTCTCACTGAGTTGCTTCACCATTGCTGAGGCTGGCTTTGAACTCATGATCCTCCTGCCTCAGCCTCCCAAGCTGCTGGGATTACAGGCATGCGCCACCTGCTCCGCACCTTGCAGTCTTAGCTTTGGCTGAAAAGAGCACTGGACTAGAAGTCAGAATTTCTTGATTATCTTAGCTCCGTCCTTGATTTGTGTGACCAGGGGCCTTTATTTTCTTATTCATCCTCTGTGGGTATAATGGCTTCTGCCTTTCATATTATACCCAGTGATTATGAGGAGAAAACAAAAAGCTATGTGTTATGGATAAGTGAGGAGCTATTATTCCCATGTATACATGATGAATTCTTTTCAGGAAGCTTGATCAGCAGACTAGTGCGAGATGACTCTTGCATGCTACGTGATTTGGGGCTGGGGAGTTGGATGTGATTTGGAAAATTAAGTGTGTAAGAATTGACATGAAATCCTGAGTTCAAAATCAATTTATTAAAATCTTCAACATAGACATGTTTTCAGAGAAAGTAGAAATTATTTTTCACAGCATGTATACCTCTCCGGAGAGGAGGCTAACTAGTTAAAGTGTCCTCAGGGCCAGTGATCAGTCCTTAAAAGACTCCCTTCTATTCCTGACTCAACAGACTCCCAGAACTGAGTGGGACTCCAAGAGATCATATAGTCCATCCCCCTGCCTCTAGCAGGCAAGGAAAGAGCAATATCTTAGAATTTGTGGTAGTAAATTTGCTGACCTTTCTTTAAGAGTTTCTCCTGTTCTTGAAGCTGTAAGGATTGATTCTGAAGCAGACCTGTTGGAAAACACAAGAAACTTGTCTGTGCTACTGCAAAGAGCCTCTTTACAGACCTTTGCTTAGAACCTAGTTAATAATATGCCTTTCTGTTATGAATTGAATTCTGTGCTCCCAAATTTATATGTTGAAATCCTAACCCCCAGTACCTCGGAATGTAACCATCCTTGGAGATAGAGTACAGGTAAAAATAAGATAGGTAAGGTAGGCAAAGTAACTGTTCGAGTAACTGATGTTGTAAAAAGAGGAAATTTGGACAAAAGGAAGCTTATGGTCATCTTCAAGCCAAAGAAAGAGGCCTGGAATAGATCTTTCCAACACAGCCCTCAGAAGGAACCAACTCTACTGACTCTTGATTTTGGATGTCTAGCTTCTGAACCGTGAGACAATATTTTTCTTTAGTTTAGGTCACTCAGTCTGTGGTACTTTGTTACAATTTTATCATCCTTTTCTACTGTGTCTTTGTCTTCCAGGTCTCTGCTTAAATATTATCTCAGAATTAAAAGTCTCCCAGATGGCCCTACATACAAAAGTGACTATTTTCCCTTTAGCCTGCTCCCGCCTCTATAGCAGTTATTATAATTTGATGTACGTTCAATTTTTTCATGCACTGAACTACACTTGTTTGTAGACCTTTTTTAGAATATAAGAGAAGGAACTGTAAGTTTTGTTTGTTATTGTATCCTCACATTTAGTATGGATCAATAAGTGGTTGATTTTTGGAACCATTCCTAGTGAGATTTAAGTGACATATTCATATACATAATAAGTTAGACTACATAAGAAAAGAACTATACTAGAAAACCCAGTACTTTTAATAATCCATAATTATGGTAGAAATGCAAGTGATTGTCATTGGCATGGAAGGAGAAAAGTAGAAAAAAAGAGTAGAGCCTGACAATATGTGAAAAGCTATGTAAGTGACTCCACGGAACAAGAAGTAGGTATAGAATGTACAGAGATAGGAGGATATGCCAGAGACTGGGCCCCTAGATCTTCCTCTGAATGAGTGTTGTGGAGCAGGACCCCAAGGAACACCAAAAAGCTTTCTTGAGAATCCAGAAAGGAAACTTACTCTGCAACTGCTGTATTCTGGTCATCAGGGCAATTTTTTCTTCCTCTGACCTCTTTAGTTTATCTGAAAGTGAAACAGTACAAACCAAAAATAGAAGAACCCAGCTTAAAGAACAGAATACCTGAGTATGGAAAGGAATAATTCATGCTGACTTGTCTATGCATCTGATAAGTGTCAAATGGAATTTGCCCTGTCTTCTGATTGTCCTCAGTTCTCAAAAGGTAGACCAGGTACCCCATCAACAACCAGGGGTATGCATCAACAGTGTTGAGTTGGACTAAGGACTCTTTTTATACATTATCTGGTCCTTTTAGCAGACACGGGCTAACTTGGAGACCTTCATTCTGCCTTGTATTTGAACTGACCTTTCCTTTTCAAATTAGGAATGTGGTTCTGACACTTGTGACTAATATAGGAATGGCTGTCATTTGGCCCAGAGGATGGGCTGGAGAGAAAAGAGCTCATGCAATAAGATCCTCTATTGTAGTAAAATGAATTTCCATCTTGGATGATTAAAGTAGTCCTGCCTTTCCCTCAAGGTAAAATGAAATCATAAGGCCAAGCAAACAAATGAAGGCTGAGGCTTTTTCTCCTCGCAGCTTCCTTTCTCTAAGCTCACTCAGCCATGGTTCCTGTGTTCCTGAGGCCTCTAAGAATAGAGTACCTTGAAGGTCCTGGGTATCTGAGTTGCACAGATCTCTGTCCCCTTGCAGGCGTTCAATCTTGGCCTGCAGTTCCTGGTGCTCATTCTCCAGAAGTCGCAGGGCTTGGTTCATCTGTGAGTCTCTACTATCTGCTCCCTGAAAGGAGGAGGGAAGGGCCAATATAGAAGCAGGTCCCATGGAAGAGGAAAATTACTGAAAATTATAGAATTTTAGAGGTAGAGGAGTATTAGGGTAATGGAAAAACATGGAAGTGTGTGTGAGCCACATCCCCAGCCCTATTTTGCATTGTATTTAGAGACAGGATCTCACTGAGTTGCTTAGCACCTCCCATTGCTGAGGCTGTCTTTGAACTCGCCATCCTCCTGCCTCAGCCTCCTGAGCTATTGGGATTAAAGGCATGCCCCACTGTGCCCGGCTATTCCTCACATTTTTAACAGTGCATTAGACTTCTGGTATTCACAAGGAACATATCTTAACACTTTGATAAATCTCAAAATTAAGTCATAGCAAGTCATATCTTTTCTAGATATTTTCACTTTCTTTTTACTTACCATTCTAGCCCTATCAAGTTTGTTTGTTTTGAGGATGGTAGAACAATTTTTTTTTTCATGAAGAATTAGGTTTAAGAAACTCAAACATCTTCTTAAGAATTGCCTTGTAGTTGACAGGAAGATAAGAACAACAGAGGTTGAGATGTGCATTTGGATAGTGTTATTCCAGTTGAGCACTTAGTTCATTTGCATGAATAGTGTAGGTATTCTTACTAAACTCAAAACTATCTCAGAACTCAAACAGGGAGTCTGGTACTAAGTGGGTAGTGACTGAGGAACTGAAAGCTAGATGCTCTGAGCTGCCCTTGGAGTCCCCAAGCTGGGAGCAACTTTTCTCACTACTACCCCCCTCCACCTTCCTGCTCTTCTTACCCCCAGTGCCTGTACCTGTAGTTTAGACTGAAGCACATGAAGTTGGCTCTCCAGCTCTCTGTGTTGGGTCCCGAGGGCCCTCCAGTCCTCTTTTAGAGACTCATATTGGTTCCTCCACTCTTCACATTTCTGCTCTGCCAGAGCCAGGGACCGCTGAGGGAGATCAGAGAGGAGGGAGTTTCAGTAGAAGCCTCCCGCACCAAGGCAACAGCTTGGTGGAAAGGTTGCAAAAGCACATTGTACCCCCTCAATTGTGTATTGTAGATTAATAAATTCTAGGTGTATTTATGAGGAGAAGGTTCCAGGAATTTGTGTAGC